AAAGGCAGCTGGTGCTGATGTACTGCAGCTTTCTGAAAGTCTTGTATTAATAGTTGAGTACGTGAGACTATGAGGTGGAATACTGTTGATTACAGTATTCCACCTGCAAAAATTGCTTTTCATTATCGTCATATCTCAGCGATCGGCTGTTATGATTTAGGCCTATGAGCCCCATTGAAAATGGTGCGGCCCTCACGAGGCCGTTAGTGCGCGGTTGCTTTTAGGTGTGGCTGCCGACGGAGCCGGATTTCGAGCTCTTATCGTGCCAAATCCAGGCCGCTTTTCAAACAACAACTCCTCACAAGGCTAGTTGGTGGTCAGAATTCTTCATAGAATTAGATCCCGGACAAATGGGGCAAGTAGTGAGCGGAATGCGATTATGACAATTTTGGATTACTGTGGCCACTCCTTTACGCAATTGCACACACCTGACATCTTTTTCAAATTCCCCTTTCTCCCGCCACGGTAATCGCGCGCCATCCCTATTTCCGTTAATTTGAAGAACCCGAAAGCTACCAGATTTTCTCGCCTTTTTCATCATCAATGTGCTATACTCCACCAACATTTCCGCTTTTCAATTCAAATGGGTACCCCAAAATTATTACGAACTCTACCTTCGAAGGTGATTTCAGTTACAGTTTCGGTTGCGGTGGTGTACAAGTCAGTGCTTTTATCTTCCCAGACGAGTCTGGTACTAATTAATCGATCTTCGAGGGAGGGAAGGTTTGGTTGGCTATCGTTCCGGGAAAAATGAAAAAGATGTTAGGAATCGTCATCTCGTCCTGAATCATGTTCAAACAGGATTAATCGTGATACATTTGAATAATAATTAAGAATGACCCGTAAAGACATGTTAAGACGCGTTGTAATCTGACGGTGTGATAGGGAGGGAAGGGAGGCGTCAGACGGAGTGGACGTGCGGGATGTCTCGCACCTGACGCGTTGACGAGGGCGCCCGATCCGCTCCATTGTCCTATCGGGCGGCGGCCCATTTTTTATGTTCCTTATCTTACCGCATTCTTCCACGCCGTTATGTACAAATATAACTGCAAATATTGTTTTGCTACTTTTCTTTGTCACTTGCTACTCGTCCAATACCGTGATAACTCGTCCATCTTACACCAGTTGAAGCTTTCTATGGAGTGCAGATCCTTTGCTATTGTGTTGTTATATTTTTCATATAATACATAACTGCAATGAGGTGAATCGGCAAAAATAAAAGCAGTTATGTGAACAGGGGTTAATATCGCGCATCTGGGTGCTCATCTTCGTAATCGATACTTATCTAATCCTTCTCATCGATTCTGCGATCAGATGGTTCACTATCTAAAAGATCTGGCTCCCGTTCCCACTTCCAATCACAAAACTGAAAATTACTTTACCACATGTAGAGCTTACTTTCACTATAAATTTGTCTGTTAAGAAAGTCCATGATGGCCTCCCCATTGACTCGATACAATTATTCTTCATCTTCATTAAGTTATATTTAATTACGTTCCCGAAACTGATAAGAAAGAATTTTCGTCGACGACTGACATTTTGGCAAATCGCCATTTCCGAAGCTTGTGAAGTCGAAAGCATTCGTGAAATTCATACGACTACTTCTGTGAATGAGTGGAAATCACTCCCAAGAAGACTATTTTGCAGAGACGTCACACGTCGATGAATTTGTTTTCCAACAATAGCATAGGCTCATTTACATAGAGCACACAGAAGAACTGCATGTTTTTCATTTCGAAAGTTGAGCTCTCATAGAAAATATCTACCTTCCATGGTTTTTGTGGTAACACTCACTTACAACTACAATTTTGTGAAAAAGTGCTGAAGGCTTTTTAAAGAACAGTTGAAAGGCCTTCAAATTTAGAGAGTATGATTGGGAGCGTGTGGGAGAAATCAGCCGCTAAAAATAGAGCACCATTACGTGTCATGGTAATCAATCCCTTATGGTGCACTTATAATTGATTGTTCTTCTCTTTGGTATTTGTTCGCAGTTGAAGAATGTTAGCAAAAAAACTAAGTGTTCGTGATATTCGCCACTAATTTTTGATAGGTATCGATCCCATCAACAGTGGAGCCGCGAGAATGCAGAGTGGGGAGTCGGTCAATCAATACATATCTGGTGCTCGGGGGGATTTCACGACCTTCCGACTCTGAACAGTACCTTATCGCTATAGTAAACAGAATTAAGGATAGGCAATAACAGAACAATACTTGCTTTGTTATTGCCTTTGCTTAATAGGAGCTTTGCATAGCCGCTAAAATAAACTGGAACTTCCAAAAGCTATGGCGCTAGCGATTTTTCGATCCGTAGCAGTTTTCTCAGGTTTTAATTGCTGTTTGCGGCTTACGGGACTGGTTTGTCAACATTTTGGTAAACCAATCTGCTTCAAACTACCTTTTTATTGTTAGGTGTAATCCTGGCCCACCAGCTTGGTTCCTGGGATCGGGCCTGAACTACCCACCTGACACCCATGAATAACCTTATAGGTATAAAATGTTTATGGTCGAAACTTTTTAACAATATTGGATGGGTGTTTTGTTGCCGCACACGAGAGCCTGGAAAGTATACCAGTATTACAAACCTTCAGCTTTATGAGTATTTGTGTGCCACACAGTATGTGGGCGCAGTGTCACCAATCAATTTCGTTATGAAACCGGCGGGTCAAGCAAGTACGAGTGTGCGAAGTGCAGTGCGCCAACCATTTGCTCAGCTGTCCGGCTGGCACCGCTGTCGAATTTCGCAGCGGGACCACCCATACCACCCCCATTGATTTCCCTTTCACACTTCCCGCCTTTTCCTTTCCATCACGCTGCTACGGCTAGGCAGTTACTTTCTTTTCTGTTTTCTGTCTTTTCCCTTTTTTGCGCCAGTTTGAATACCCATTATTCAGGAGGTTGCTGACGTCGTAGTTATGTGGCTTTCACAGTGTTGTGCAATGCTGAGTCATTGGGTTGCTATGGCGTGTTTACTGAGAGCTACTCACTGGGAACTTGGTAGCTCCAAGTGTATTTAAAGTTAATTCCGTAATTATTAGCACCATCCTTTGAATGGATACTATTTTGTTAGGCTTCATTCACTAGAATTGTGGTATAAAATGTTCGTAATCTATTTCTCGAAAGTTTGGCGAAAAAACTTCTCGAAAAAAGGAACAGGAAACGAGTGCGTCGATTGATTGGTAAGTTCTTATTCAATGTCATTTATCGGTTCTGTAATGCCGACGGTATCGATCATATGGGAACTGATGCGATGGATAGATAATGAACCGTTAGCATAACGTAATAGCAGACGTCAGGCGCCATTTTTATCCCTGAGGCTGAGATGTTTTGCAGGTTTTTTTTGTAAAAGTGATGCTTGAATCTTCTCTTCAGTTCGTGTTCCAACTCAACAATTCAGCAATTTCCATTGCTATCGCTGGCGGTCATGGCAGGGTCATTAGGCGAACTTTGCAAGCGCAATCATTCCCACTTCCCATTCGATATGATCGCTGCAATCATTTAATTCCCAATTTTACACTGGAACCCGCCGCATATTTCTATTGGAATGTGACTGTCCAATTAGATGGCCTTGATACCTTTCTGCTGTCCAGTTTTTTATGCATACAATTAGTCATTCGAATGATGATGCTATCATGAATATTCTGTTACGCTTTGGAATGGTTTCAAACTTTCCTTCATAGTTATGGTTGTTTTTCAATTCAATTCATCGATTTCTGAGGTTTCTCTTATACAGCTTAGTGTCAGCATTCAAGATTTTCTTCCCGCCTTATCTTAGGTTTTGTTTATGGTCTGCGGCTTCGTTGAACCGTGGAATCCTCTACCACAGATTAGATACGGAATGATTGATTCATCTATTTCCAGACTTCTATTCAGCAATTTTAGGATCGTCTCGATCGATAAGCATCTGAGCCATGGTAAATCAATAGTGATTGGTAGATTCGGAGCGCTATTCCTCCTAGATATTCCCCGGTCGCAACCTGTGTTCCTCAGTTTAAGCTGGTTGCTGACTCAGTTGAGTCAAATAATCGGTCTCACTCATTACATCAGTTCCTGTCTGTTGTCCTCCCCTCTTTGTTGTGCAGGTGGAGTTCGCATAGACTTCGAACAAAGCACCATTTCTTACTCATTTCGTATTCATGCTCGTCGATTCGACTTCGTTACCGAAGTCTGTTTCTGTTTCTGTTTGGACGTTCTATGACATTTACTAGTAACGCATCCGTTTACAATCATAACTTGTTATTTTTAAGGGTCATTTTATGTCCGCTTCATAGCCCCACGAGTGATTGTAATGGAGATATCTACTCATCAGAATTCCTTAATACCGTCTTTTCAACGGTATTCGCAATGTGAAGGTGGATCTGGGGCGTCTTTCGACGTCTGCATGGATGATTACACCTTTCATGCAGATTTTACGAACTGCGGTTAGTTAACTCTTTCTTTGTTGAAACCTTTTTTTATATTTTTTCTCCACCATTGAAATTGGAACAGTGAGTGGGAAACGATGTATGGTGTCTACGACCGCATAGTACGGGTTCAATAACTTTGTCATAATGTTCTACAGTGATGAGTAATTGTGTGCAGGACTGGTTATAGCGTCATCATGACGNTCACAAGACTTTTTCATCGAATGCCGTGCAGATTTACTTTCTATGACGAGAAATGATTGGCATATAGTCAAAGAACTATAGCGAGAAAAGTGAATTCACTTGTAAGGGAATGGATCGCATCTCAGTAAAACTGAAAATAAAGTCTTGAGTTTAGTAATAAAACACAGGGTTTCAAATGCCTACGATTTCATGCGCGAAGGAGTCGCGGTAAACGAGCTTGACATGTATGTAGAAGGGCTGGTTTGGCTGCACAGTTAAATGAGATTGGAGCAAGGGATGGTATTGTTGTCTGTGATAACAATAAACAATGAAGAGGGGAAGAAGGGTAATAGCTCTATTATTCACATGGAATTCACATGGAATTTTGTTCTGAATAATTTATCATATCCTTCAGACGATGAATGTTCCTCAATGGGTTCATCTGTTCCTTCATTCGGAAGTGATTCTGAGGGAGGCAGTGATAATTCTGACATGATAGATGACGGATCAAGCGGAATAAGATTGCGAGAACGAACAAGGGTGAGTGCTTTTGTTGTCTTAATATCCAGGGTTAGGCTTTCCATTTCACGAATCCTACTTTACGAATTAAAGTCAGCCTTTTTCACATGCGAGATGAAACGTAGGAGTTTAACAAGGCAGGTTTGCAAATAACGTAACTTTTTCTTTAACCTTCTAGCACTCCACCTAAAATATTCCGATGTAATTTTGTCTTATGATTTCTAATTACTTTTCATTCTATCGAAATTTTTGGCTCCATGATATTGAGATCGGCTTTCAATTTTTTACGGTGAATCTCGGATACCCCTTTCACAAACATATTTCAAACAAGGTTTCTTATTGAGATTGCAACCAGTTTTGCTGGAGTGGGCATCTTCTTTTTATCTGACTACACTAGTAATTACTTGTAATGAGGCTTCCAAGGTCAGTATAAATAACTTGAAAGGATGGTTCTGCAGTGTTTGACGAGCACTAGAGCGTTTTTTTTTTCAGCCCAAAATGAAGAAAATCCTTTTTGGTGTAACCAAGCTTCTCCGCAGAATGATAAAAATGTTTGCATGATACTATTGTTCGTTTCCAATGAAGAGAGTTCATTGCAGTATGCTGTTTTTAGAGCGGATGCGTAGAACTTACAGCTTCATCTGAGATGCTGCGGATCCGGTTTCCTTTTCAGTCCATTAGCGTTCGCCTGGCTGACTTTTTATGTCTTCAGGAGAATGTGAGTTCTAATCATGTATTTGAGCTCACTGCAATGGTAATTTTGTTGAAAGTGAATTTTATTTTACAATAATATCTTTCACCAGTTCCGCGCAAATACAGCTCTTGATGAATCATACGCACAGTTCTTTAGCTATTGAACGGAATTCCGAGTGGCTTTGCTTTGTTGCTGAGAGCAGCGGGAGCTCGTTCATTCTTGCAGCCAGCAAAAGCTGAACACAATGAGGGGAGCATATCATCGTTAGGAAAACAACGTGTGGGAAACTCATATTTGCTTTCTTTTGACAAGCTATGCTTGCATTCTACTTCCTGATTCATGAAGACAACGGACTCTTTGTAGAAAATTAGGCTGAGAGAGATTCCAACGCATCACTGCATGATCTCAATGTGAACTCGATCGGCTTTGTTTCCTCCTTTTTGCTGTCCGTTGTAATATCTCAGACAGAAATAATGATAGTGGGGCACGCACGAGAGCAGCAATAAAAAGCTACTCCATGACATATGTCACGTATTCAGTGATAGTTAATCAACGAACCCTTTGTAGAAAAAAAAGTAATCAGAGGGTAGTAAGGAGAAGCAGACGAAATTTCCAAATGAGTAGTGGGAATAAGTTGCAACTGGAGGGTGCGAATGTCTAGTACAACTAAATTTTGATAAGTTAGTCATGAGTATATGACAATAACGAAAATCCGTAACATATTAATATAAAAGAAGTTGTAGTAGAGGGTTAGGTGGAAAGAAGGAGTTCATAAGCCTGATGATGCTCTCACATTTGCTTCTAACCCTGGTTACTTAGAGTTTTTCTCAATCTTCAAAATCTGGGATCCAGCTTCAGCGACTCGTTTGATTAAGTAGAGGTGTGTGTCGGTCGGTGTGTGTGAGGCTGTACAATAGAATAAATTCATTTACTTCATGAATTAACATAAATTTTCCGAGTTTGTTGTCCGGTCTCATCCTAACTGGGTGGTACTCTAGCGATAAATTTATGTCGTTTTCGTGGTCGCATGGAGAAGTGGTACAGATTGCCTTTTGACAGTTTTTAGCTTGGTACCACCTTTCAACTGATTTTTTATCGGGTGGGCAACATTGTGTAAAGAACCTTGAGTCGTAGAGACCGATTGGTGAAAGGTTGTCAACATTGGTAATTCCAAACAATCCATTCCCGTGAATCGTACGAGAGGAGGGTCCAGCCTTGCGCCTTGTAAATGGGCCTTACAGCACCCCTTCCACTCTCAGCAAGATCACGAAACAACTCTCAGTTCGGTTCTTTAGTGTTCCACAAGTATCCACCAGAGAATATGTACATCGAAAGTAGGGAAAAGCTACGACTTTTTTGAATGCTCTGTGAGATTATTGGGAATCCGTTCCTTGAAACTGATTGAAAATTACTAAGTAGGTAGCGATCCAGGACTCAATTCCCTGCACTGAAACTGAAAAAGCGAAGCAAAACCTCTTTATACTATCAAAAAACAAAAGCCTTCCTAACAAGAGATTCGGTGCATTGTTTTTATAGGATTTGCTTAACGACACAATAGTGGACTTCTATCTTAACCATGTCGTCGAACACATCCTTCCTGATGAACCGTGAGTTTGGTTGCCGCTTCTTCCCTTTTTTTGCTGCTTCCAATGTGAACGATGTTGGGAATGGGGAATACTTTGGATATGCCTCCAATGTCCAATTAACGAAAGTATCAAATAAAATAAATCCTGCAGACTAACCCTAGTTCAAGATATGGTTGATGGTAATGTCTTCATAAATAACTGACGTGAGTTGAGAGCATTAAGAGAGCTATCACATGAGTAATTCTTGATGGAGCAAACATTGTTTTTCAATGGAACCTTGGAACCGTTACGTATAAATTTAGAACATATGTGCATACAGTTCTTCGATCATAGTGCAATGCTTGCTATATTTAAATGCAGAAACTTTTTTCGTACATCGCAATTCGCAGGAGCCAAAGAGTCACTGTTCTTCCATCGGTGTTTTGGCACAATTTGTCAATACTTCATTCTGCAGCCCAGGTCGATGATGCAGATGTTACTCTGACTGATGATCAAAAGGTAATTTTTCAGTGGTGATTAGAGCCAGCGATAGTTTTGAAATGTAACTTCCACCGTTTTCCATGCCCTTATCTGGATTTCAAGCATAATCATGGCACTTTAGCTTGATGCCCGATTTGGCGATGTCTTGGATTTTGTGGAAGATTTTGATTTCATTGATGTGGATTATATCATTGTGCCGGTAAATGAATGGGAACATTGGTGAGTGTTTCTCCGTGAATTCTTTCGTCTGGAGAACGAAACGGGATGAATGCTGACAAATCGTTAATGGCCGGGTGGGGTTAGATTCATTCATGAGTTTTTGAGAGTTCAAGTTGTATCATCATAGATCATTCAGGAGATATTCATCTGCCACAGGAAATTTTTCCATCTATACATTCATTATAATTCATGTTTTATTGCATTTTTGGGAATCAGAGGCCTGTAAAAATATCGCCACATAATGGAAGAAAATTAGTGAGAGGTTATTTCGCGCATAGGTAACAATTCTTGCGGTTGTCTGGCTGTAGAACGGGTCTTGTAATCTTTTCTCCCTTTTCAGGAAGGAATTTCATGTACGCTTTTTGCAATTTTACTTTTTTCGAATTTTTTTAGTTTCTGTACCACTTCGTACATTAATGAGAGAGGCGGAGCTAGATTTTCGCCGAAAAAACCCTTTTTTATGCACATAGTCAGGCCATTAGATGTTGAGGTTTTCGTTCGTGTGCTCACCCGCACTTCCCATCATTTTCCATGCTCACTGAATTCAGATTAGACTCGATATGTAGGATGAATATCCTATATATCGGTTGACCCGCGCAATCCATTGTATAGGCCACTTGCGAACTCAGATGCGATTTTCGGGATACTTTTAGTACGGCTGAGGGTTGAACTTGGTGAGTAATCATCGAATTCAGGCCGATAAGCAAATAAAAAAGCCACTGGCAGGATAGTTTGATTTATGGTCTCTTGAAAAGGTCATGGCAACAACATCACGAATTGCTTTTTATTTTAGAAATTAAGCATTTTTTTGGAGCTGGTTCTGCTTTATTTTTGCTTGCTGGACATCCTACTTAGCAAGCCTGAAAGCCGGTCCGAGTTTTGTAGTACAGTGAATATCTCCCGAATGACACTTGATGAAATCTGAGTCTTGAGGTTTTAGGACAATTTTCATTCAAGCCTAGATATTAGTAAAACGTAGTAGAAAATAACCGGTTACTTCCGTTTCAGAAATCTTTTTTTCTATTTTTTCTATGGTCCAGTCATACATGTCTTTCATTTTCGTCCAAGCAGTACAGGGTGAAAAATGAAAAGTGTATTCCAGGTCGTTAGTGATTGTATGTCATCCCTTCACTGCTCGCGCAAGGATGCTCTGTTTCGATTCGCAGCTCAGTGAAGATCCAAATAACATGCAAAACATCGCTGTTCTCTGTGATGACTTTTTGAAGGTAGTTTCGAGACATGCTTTCCTTTTTTGAGTTTCCTTCCTTTTCCAAGAATGTCGATGAATGCCGCTTTTTAGTATGTATGGATGAGGCGAAATCAACAAACACTTTGCTCTATGGAGAGAATGCGTTGCATTTTTCCGAATCGTTTGCCCCAGCAGAGCAACAACTATGACTGCGGGCTTTACATCGTCGAATTCGCTCGACGATTTCTTCTAGCACCACCGTCTAATGTGAGTAGTCTTCTGTATCTTTATATTAGTCTTATAGCATCGGTCAATTTAAATCGTTTGATCTGAGCAGCAATCAAGTGAAGGTATATTGTTTGATGTCTGCCTCATTTTTTATTCCTGCACCTGGCGTAAGCCATGTGATAAATGTGGATAAATATCCAAACCTAATCTACGAAAAGTTGCTTATCGATTATCCCATTCGCTATTGTCTGCACGAAAACAGGAAATCCTGTGGTAATGATTTGGCGAGCGTTTACACGACATGATCATGAAAATTCATGGTGAAGAGACTGGAGCACAATGGACACTCCCTTCCCCCCTTCCACCGTTTGCAGTTGCCACTTTATGATCGTCCATAATCTTAGTATTCATTTGAAAGATTCTTCATTTGTATTGACGTGCTTACTCACGAAATTGAAGAATTGGTGAGAATTCGTAGGGAAAAATGCGGGAAATCCGAAGAATGCGCTGCCTTTTCCCACGACATTGATCCTTTTCTAGTCCTTCTCCCCATTTTTTGGAATTTGTGCTTCTTCGACTCTCATTGTTTGCTCACTCCGTGGAATCGCAAACTATGCAAGCTGGGGGACGTTACATTCGTGCGATTGGAACTGCGGGCGGCAAATTGCGCGGCGACATTCATAATTATTTTGACGGTTTTAACGTCCATTATTGGGGCCCGAATTTCAAGTGGCGTAGTGTTGATTCTACTTGACTAATCTATTTCAAGTTTTTGCCCCAATAATAGACCCCAGAGTCGTTCGAATCGCCATGAATTTCGCCGCGCAATTTACCGCGCGCGGTTGGAATCGCACGAATGTACACACACCCATGCAAGCTGCTTCAGTGAACTAAAGCACTCCTTATGTGGTCTCTGTCTCGCGGAACGGAAGTCTCTCAAATGAGAATCTATTTTTCTTTAGTGACAAAAGCTCATGGGCAGGAAATAAAATTTGTTTGGGTGACCATGAAGTAGTTGTAAGTGCCTTAACCAGGAACTACATGCGACTTCTCTGGAAATCTGAACCTTTCCTTCTAGAGGGTCACTAACATTCGTTTCCAGTTGGATGCATTCGACTTCACAGCAGAGTACCCAGACTTTAGTGTGAAGAACAAGCGTCGAGACATCCAGCGAGCTATACTGTCGCTTTGTTCTAATCGTGAGTTATGGACACCGATATTGGATATACTGAACAAAAAAATGTAATAAGATTGACAACATTTCACTATCTGTAGCTCCATCTTTTTATGTAAATTAAACTGTTGCTACGTCACTGTGGTCGCCTTATTCGTCTAAAATACTCTGTACGTGTACGACACCTGTTATTGTTGTGTGTGTCGTTGCGTGCAGTTGTTTGTTGTGAATTGGTGATGTAGAGAGGTTTATGAATTCATAACAAAATAGAATTGTCGATATTTCATTCAACTCAGAAGTGATTTTGTTGGTTTTCTTGTTACGGCTACACCTATCTTTCATGTTTCATCTCTGCTCAAGCAAACCCTACTGTCGTGATTTTCGATGAGCACTTGTTCTTCTTTTCCGCGCGTTTATTAAGAAAAAAAANAAAAAAAATCAAACATTGAAATTGTTATCTGTTACGCCGTCGCACGTTGTTACCTTGTTAGGAAAGGATATTCGGGAATACTGGTATTTACTGCATCAAATTTACCTGATGTTAACTATTTTATAAGATCGAGCAGTGCCAGTGTTCCATGCTATGTTCCCGGATGGTATAATATACTGGTTGTTAGATTTCTACGTTAGATTATCAATATTTTGGTGTTGCCACAGTTTTTGTGCCGAGGTTTGTTACGATATCCCGTTTAATTTACTGTTACAACTTTATAGGTGTTAATGCCGATTTTTTCTTAAAAATTGTGCATTGTTAGCTCCCAAATTCTATTCTGCCTACATCTTTCGCCTGGGTACATTTTCTTGACTTTCGGATTGTTTGGGTTGGTAACTTTCCGTTGACGCATTGATGGAGTGTTGTTTTAATTCCTTTTTTGCGGTGATAGACTCAGTCATTGTTATGTTTGTTTGAAGATTCGTTTCTTTTTGTTCTGGCATGAGCTCTATCCTGGAATACACCTCACCCATTCTTTCCGTATTTCATGGCTGCCAATTGTTGAGATCACCGTTGTGTTGAAAGCGATGATGGAACGTTGAAGCGCCTCCTTTAGGAGGTTGCTTGTTAAATAAATTGTTATTTAATGTCCTTTCTGCAATACAAAACACTAATTTTCCTTTTTTTTNTTTTTTTTGATTTTTTGCAGTTGTGATGGAGGGTTGTGCCATAAAGGCGAAACTTCTGGACCAAGTTGTGTTTCCCAATGGCTATCGTCGTGGGTTACGCCTAAGACCTTCGGTAGGTCGATGGTTACTTGGCATTACATTAACTTTTCATTAAAGGCATAATTCACGATAATTCGAGGAGCGGGAAAACCAATGCTTTTCCGCCCCTCGAATTATCGCGAATTGTGCCTTTAATGAACATGTTAGATACTCAGCGAGAGAGGACTTTTTGGCTTAGAAGAGAGATCTATTGGCATGGCTTCTGGCCATTACACTGTTCACATTCATCGTCTTGTTTGTCTTTTTTGCATGAAAATAAAAACAGCATTACGACAAAGCTTCCTCCTCCATCCTTCTTCCGCATACATTCGTTTCTCTAGTTCCCTTCCTGTGCTATAAGCAAAAAAAAATAATCTGTTCAAAATGATTGATTTCGGAATGATTCATTGGGGTATCGATACGAACGCACTATCGCGCCCACGAAGAAGAAACGGCCATTTAAGAAAACATTATTGTCAATCGACTAGTTGGCGAAATGCCAAAATTGTCAAGGGTCTCTGAAGGCTGATAGTAGGACACTTGATTATGCGAGGTCGATGCCTGCATTGGCACTGTTTTGGCTGAACGTTGGCTAAATGTGAATGGCGATTTTCGGGCGCACACCCAATCTGGACTAACTGTTGAAAAGAGAAGGAGCTACTAAAGTGAAGTAATCCCTAAAAAAGGATTAGACTGATGTTGGTCGTAGATGATTCAAAACGGAAGAAAACAAGTGGAAATCCAGCGCGGGGAGGAATGTCCGTTGCGCGCGTTCGTTGGAAGAAGATCACCCCGCCCACTTCGCGCGCGGCGCAGCCCATTGAGATCCCGGGATGACGTTACAGTATCATCAGGCGTCTTCCCTACAGTAACTCAGCAGCACCTTCGGCAGCCCGCGGTAACCTACACACTACGTGTTCTTCTGCCCTTCCCAAGGTTTTCCTGATGATTCGAAAATGAGATGAGTTGAGAATTAGTGTGTCCAGCAACGTTATGGCGTGAAAGTATGTAGTCCCGTGAGATGTTCGGCACAGGTTTCGGTATTAAATATTCGTTCTTGTGTGGGGGATGGACTAGCCACATAATTCACCAAAGTTCTCGCTAGAATACTCGAGATTTGCAATTTCCTGAAGTTGATTAATGATATAAGATACCATGGAATAGATAATAGCACTGTGTAGCAGTCAGTATATGAAAATGTGAGAGGATGAGAACGTCCAAGTCCTCCCATACAACTAGACGGTTGAGGGAAGAGGGAGGGGGTGGAGGATTTCAAAGAGGTTGAATAACTCTGGTTAGTATTTTATATTCGAGTACTCAGAGCCATAACCGGAACAGCGGTTCTATCCCATTCAATATTCCTCCTCCGTTCAATAGAGCGTATGGGAAATCGGAAAAGAAAATCGATTGCTTACCCATTAGGATTATGACTAGCATGTAATCTCGTTGGATGTTGACAAATTCTAAACAAGGCAATCCTTTTGCTGAGCTTGATGCTTTGCATACCCACCCCTTTCTTACGAAGCAATTTTCGACCCGTTACGGGCTGGGTAAATTAGAGTCAGGGAAGTTAGGACGGGGTGCGTTGCACTGTAGTTGCCCGATCCTCGGGATCGGATTTCGATTAGGTCGGCTGTTCTATTTTCGTCAGGCTAATATATTCATCAAGTACCTCGGGTTTATCAGATTGACACATTTGTTAAGTATGTCGGGGACAAAAAACTATTCTGAACAACGGTTCACCCTGCCTATCAAACCAGCCAGTCAGATACGCTTCCAATGTCCAGTATGATTTCAAGTGTTCCTTGAAAGCATGGCGTCGTGTATTATTAAGGCTGACCAAATAAATAAGAATAAGGATAAAGTTTTTAGTGTCAAGCAATCCCGTCTGAGGGGTGCGCCACTGCATTCGACTTCCATTCAGAATCCTACGATAGTGCAGGAACTGTTCATCCTTTTCCCGTACAGAGGGCATGTCCTGAACGAAAGT